TATTATTTTAGGACACCTTTGTGTGCCCAGAGACGCGTCAACCCGTGTCCCAGATGCTGTCGAACATTGAATGACGTCTGTTTGACTTTAGCAACATGTCTCCATTCTGTAAACAACTCAGTCGGAGTGTGAAAACATTGTCACACATGTGCTGACTCAGGATTTTATCAAATCGTTTATCTTGAACTGTATGATTTATTATACTTTCTTTTTTATATACATAGATGGTTTAGTTTTGAAAAATGTTTTTTCGCCATTTTTTATGTTTTAATTTTAGGGGTGGGGTGTGTGGGTTGGTGGCTGGGGGCTGGGTTGTGGTGTGTGTGTGTGTGTGTTGTGGGGGGGTTGTTGGTTTTCACACGGCAAAGTGCATCTTATAGAATTACGTTCAAGTCAATGATTGACGTAAACCGTGACGTTTGTTTTGATGATCAGTATACTGGTTGGTATTTCCACAAAGAATATAACACACCAGCATCTGGACCAATACATTCTCTTTAATAGTTCAATATCTGCTGAAAAGCCTTTATGCTCTGGATAACAGAGAAAGCCTCATATGACGAAGTACATTGAATATGTACTTCTATTGATAACAAAAAGTTGACGTTCAGCATTTCAAGTGACGCGGATAAGGATCGAAAACTGATGCGGCTTTCGGAAAACAATAAAGCGAACTTCGTGAAACAAGCGAAATTTTTCAGATTTCGTTTTTGATGAAATAATGAATGATATTTGGGAGTAAAGAAATTTAATAAGACATTAGTATGTTTGTCTGAAACATAAGTGTGATCTGGAGTCAACCGAAGGAAAAACAGCATGGTTATAATACCATTGGATTCACTTCTAACGGGGCGATCTGCGCTGGGCCTAGCATAACAGCTGGTAGTATCATGAACGTCGGTGTGGAGGAGGGGAGGGGCGGGGAGGGACACGGTCACTACGACTTTTGTGAGACTGCGTCCCAGAAAAATACCAGGGCACGAGAATATCTATATACTCATTATTGAGGGTATGTAGGATGTGGAATGTGGACATTGTCCAACTGGCATCAATAGACCGTACCATGTTTGACGGTACTATGAATGATTAAAACATTTTCAAACACATTTTAAAAAACTGTTCCTTGACCATGAGTGAGTCCCTGCATTTGATGAAACATTTTAACCACAATGTGACGTATGACTATATTAATATATTACGTTTCCTCCACAAAGTTCTGTGTAATACCCTGGTGGGACAGGCTAAATCAGCGTTAAACCTAACTTACTCACTCACTCACTTTGCAATACAAAATACACCACGCACGCATGCACGTATGGTAAGCACGGATTTGCACGCATGCTATTTTGACACAGGATATCAATGAAAAAAGCATTTCATTTATAACATTGCGTTTCCAATTCATGGAAGAGAAATTGACGCAGGTCTAAGGCACTTGAGGGGCGGTGGGATAGCCTAGTGGTCAAAGCGTTCGCTCGTCACGCCAAAGACCCGGGTTCGATTCCCCACATGGGTACAATGTGTGAAGCCCATTTCTGGCTTCTCCCGCCGTAATAGTGCTAGAATATTGCTAATAGCGGCGTGAAACTAAACTCACTCACTCACTAATACAACTGAACGTTCGTCAAACCACTAATATGGTGCAAACAAACCAAGTATCGCAACCAGCGGGTTCTCAATCCTCAGCGCCTCAGGTCGTCAGCCGGAATACCGTGGCCTTGAAACTTACCTTTTCTCACGTATCTTTTTGTGTGCAATGTCACACAATGTCTAACGTAATGCTAATACCTGTCGTACACTTTGAAAGGATATTTTGTCTGGACACAACACATACCCTCAATAATGTAAGGCCTTAAGAAATTGGCTGTCAATCCCATGTTGCACATACCAATACATTTCCATAATACTCGTCTCTGTACATTCAGATCTTCTGAGTTGAGAAAAAATGTCGAGTGTGAAAAAGTATACTTGAATACGACCTTGGGCGACTGTTGAAGAGACCTTATGTAAATATTCCACGCTTTGATTTCTTTGTTTGATTCATACCTTCATATACAGAGGAAACTCCCTACTTTGACTTGTGCTGTGTTTTTTTTATGTGAGCGAGTGCGTTCATATCTGCAAAACGTTAAAAAACCTGGGTTCAGTTCTCAAATGTAACAACATTATTATTATTTTATTTTTTAATAACATTTTAGTAAACGTTTACATTTTATGGAAAGCCCTCTCCAAATTTGACGAATCAGTGGGAGGAAGTTATGGACGTCAACTTCTGGGACATGAGGAATACATTTTGGGAATATTGTGACGTCTTCATCTACTCCGAACGACCGTTGCGCCGTTTGTTTGTATCACTTCTTAAAGCCATTCAAAGAGCGAGACGTATTAGTGACTAAACCGATGTCAGATACCCCAATTTGACTTGTAGTTTCTATGTTACGCTGAAGGGATCTTGCCTTAAAACTGGCCACACTTCTCCATCTGGTGAAGGGATCCAGCCTTAAAACTGGCCACTCTTCTCCATCTGGTGAAGGGATCCAGCTTTAAAACTGGCCACTCTTCTCCATCTGGTGACGGGATCCAGCCTTAAAACTGGCCACTCTTCTCCATCTGGTGACTGGATCTATCCTTAAAACTGGCCACTCTTCTCCTTCTGGTGACGGGATGTTGCCTTAAAACAGGCCACTCTTCTCCATCTGGTGACGGGATCTATCCTTAAAACTGGCCACTCTTCTCCATCTGGTGACGGGATCCGTCATACACATCGAACACTCTGCACCGTCTGTTGTGTGGGGTACGTGAGTCTTCAGCCGTGAGGTTTGGACCCCATGCCTCACTTGCAAACTTAAACTCATAGAGAGGCTTAGACATTAAACGATATTGTGTTGTTACGTAAACTGAGACTAACTGCACTAATCCGGATGACATTCCGAAAATAACCGAAACCGACAACCATTACGAAAGACCCGAATGAGCTGTCCTAACTGTATGTGAAAAGAAGGAAGGGTTGAATCCCTGAACCACATGTGTTTAGAAAATTTAAGTGGATTTTTTTACACCTACTTGGGCGACACAAACAACTTTGTGAGAAGGTAGTGTTACCTGCATTTTCTATATCATCGCACAGTCTCGGGCTACAAAAGAGGCACAGAACAAAACAAAAAAAGCCATAAAAAAGGGGACAAAAGAATTCATTTGATTCCGCCTTGGTCTGCGATATAAAGGTTAAAAGTATCTGTTCTTGTGACGCCAGTGGGATTAACGCACACAAGCACAGGTATAAACGTTTCACCGAATGGAAGAAGTTGAAAAGGTACACTTCTATGCCTTCAAAATCTGTCTTTTCTGAATGCAAAACAAATAACGAAAACAAGCAACATGGTTTAGATGTTTAAAACACTCTTAAAATTTTACGAGAAACAATGCTTTGAAAAATTAATTATGTATTTGGATTTTGAAAAAAGAATTATTATAAAAATTGATTGTTGCAAGGTGGCTTTAAAATATATTGAAGGTCAAGGGTTTAATCAAGGGTTTAAATACCTCGTGGTGGTGAAAACAAATCTCCAGTCCCGTACAGAATTACAATTCAGGTTTAGGTGATGACCTACTGTCCTGGAGAGGACAGGTGTCTCTATCAGTGTGGACACAGCCTTTGTAACATATCTTCTCGAGCACAGGTGGAACAACGACGCCATTACTAGTTCAAAAAGGTCGTTCAATGCACAGTTTAAGTAAACAATTTGTCGTGATGGCTATGTAACTACATTTTGTACATTACTTGCAGAATTCAAATGGAGTTCACACCAGTACGAGCCTACGAGGCTGGACGTTGAACCGTCCATGGAGTGAGTACGTGAGTTTAGTTTTACGCCGCACTCAGCAATATTCAAAGATTAAACTAAACATCAGGCCGTTAGCTGCAAGACAGTTTATAGAGAAACACAACAGGAATCCATTTTTCATGTTTTATTATCTTTGTGAAATATATCCATTTCATTCAGTTCAACAGCCCACAACATGTATAACAAACTGCGGGCAAAAGATTCATACACTTGAAAATTGAACTTGACCCCAAAACTACAAACATCATAAAACTTTACTGACATTGAAAAAACTGCCAAAACAAGTCCAAGATACAACTATGTCATCCTGATCATAAAAGTCACCATAAAAAAAACGTTTCTTGTTCGTATTATTGTCAGCCACCATGAAATGTGAGTGTTAATGTTCTTAAGTCTGACAGTTTAACATGTAATTAGTTGTTCCTTCAAAACAATAAACACTAAAGAGTTGAATTGATCTGACAGTCAAGATGAACAGACTTGAGATAGCACTATTAATGCAAGAGGTTGCATCTGTTATAACACCACCCACAGTGTAGTGGAAATCCCACTTGGTTTACATGTATGAAAGTTCTTAGTAGGGAAAACCATACCTATATGCAAATATATTGTTTTCATTTTTGAAAATATACCTAAGTATCAATAGGTAACCATATAGTATATACATCTAGAGTCAACAGATGCGACCTCCATCACCTAGAAGATGTTGAACAGAGTTACTTCTTGTTACCTTGCCTGGCACTCGGCATTAAGGGGATAGTGAGTGAGTTTAGTTATATGTCGATTTTAGCAATATTCCAGCACCACCACGGCAGGGGACACCAGAAATGGGCTTTACACATTTTACCTATGTAGGGAATCGAACCCGGGTCTTTGGTGTATCGAGAGAACGTTATAACCACTGGGCTACCCCACCGCCCCATTAAGGGGATAAAGCAAGTCTGACTTTAATGTTATACACAATACCTAATACATGTTTCAGTGTATATACTGACAGGGTAAAGTAAGGGAACACCTGGAATCTTAACAAAACATTATTCCCCCCTTAATATTGTCCGTGAACAAGGTGTGATATCAAAAGCTGAAATATATACTACATGTTCTCATAAAAAGTTACAGAACACCTGATTTTCTAAAAGAACTTTAGATAATCTCTCTCATGGCTGGTGTGTATTGCAACACCAATTGTGGGTGTTCCGTAACTTGTTTTGAGAAGTATACATGCAGGAGCACAAAAGTTTTACATAAAAATGCTTGGAACATTCTTAAGTTGGTATGAATATTTAACATTGAAACATGGACATTACACTTTAGTCTGCAGATATGCATGAAGATTTATTCTGCTGTAGCTGTATGAAAGGATTACACAACAAACGATGAAGCTCCCAATAATACCAGACATCCCTCTCTAATATACAGATATTTTCTTCTACTTGCATTACGATGTATACTCCAATACATTCTTGAGATTCTGAAGTTGTTATGAAAAATGACACATACAGTGACAGTTGGACATGGGTGAGAAATATGTATCATAGTTGAGACACTCGGTGAGCTATGATTGAGACACTCGGTGAGCTATGATTGAGACACTCGGTGAGCTATGATTGAGACACTCGGTGAGCTATGATTGAGACACTCGGTGAGCTAAGATGGGGAGACTCGGAGAGCTATGATTGAGATACTCGGTAAGCTAAGACTGACTGACTGAGTTTGGTTTTACGCCGCTTTTAGCAATATTCCAGCAATATCACGGCGGGGGACACCAGAAATGGGCTTCACTCATTGTACCCATGTGGGGATTCGAACCCGGGTCTTCGGCGTGACGAGCCAACGCTTTAACCACTAGACTACCCCACCGCCCCCGGTGAGCTAAGATGGGGTGACTCAGAGAGCTATGATTGAGACACTCGGTGAGCTAAGATAGAGAGACTTGGTGAGCTATGACTGAGACAGTCGGTGAGGTAAGATTGAGACGCCAGTGTAAGAAATGAGATAGTCTGAGAAACACAGGTAAAAAGGCATGCTGACAGACACACAGTGCAGTGATACAATTTGTTTTTGGAAATAATCCAACATGTGCACCAATCAATGTTATTTCATGGTAGAATATACGCTAAGCTTACAGAGATGCTGCCTATCCAAAGCTTACGGCAATGGTAAAGGCAAAATGGCTTTCATGAATAAAACCTTGCAAAAAGACCCACCTTTCAACAGAATAGGATCATCAGAAAAATCGAGTCATAAATTTTCTCAAGTATTTCATTCGAAAGATATAGTTTAAACCACAACCAAACATGGTTGCTTTTGTCCATCACAGTGTTGATGGTTGTCCAAGGACTCTCCAGTGAGCTGATGGTTGTCTAAAGCCCACCTCAATGTGTGAATGGTTGTCCGAGGTCCACGGTCCCTCCAGTGTGCTGAAAGTTGTCAATCTCAATGTGTGAATGGTTGTCCACGGTCCGTCTGAATACGTGAATGGTTGTCCACGGTCCGTCTGAATACGTGAATGGTTGTCCACGGTCCGTCTGAATACGTGAATGGTTGTCCACGGTCCGTCTGAATATGTGATTGGTTGTCCACGGTCCGTCTGAATACGTGAATGGTTGTCCACGGTCCGTCTGAATACATGAATGGTTGTCCACAGTCCGTCTGAATATGTGAATGGTTGTCCACAGTCCAACTGAATACGAGAATGGTTGTCCATGGTCCATCTGAATATGTGATTGGTTGTCCACAGTCTGCTCGAATATGTGAATGGTTGTTCAAGCTTTCTTTCAATGTATGAATGGTTGTCCAAGCTTCGTTTCAATGTGTGGATGATCTTCCAAGGTACTTCTGATTATGTGAATGGTTGTCAAGCTCTGTGTGTGTGAGTGAATTTTTGTCCATGCTCTGTCTTAATGTGTCAATGGTTGTACGAGATATGCCTCAATATGTGATTGGTTGTCCAATGTCCATCTGAATGTGTGTTTGGTTGTCCAATGTCCGTCTGAATGTAGGCTGTGGTGTGAGGTCAGCATTTCCCCAGGACAAGGGCCAACAAGGACATGCGAACATACATGCCATTCTCGGCCTGGCGGAAGTATGCAGCACGGGGATCTGAGTCGAAGCTGGAGCTGGAACACAAATTGGCAATAATGGTAGACAGGCCCAATGAGTGTGTTTCCTTAACACTACCTTTTACAGTATTCCAGATATAACATGACCTGTCAGCTTGATGTGGAATGCAAGCTTGAAGCGATTCCCATGCGGGATGATTTTCACGTTGACTAAAACTGATGCAGAGGATGACAAACCAAGAATCCTCGTCTGGGTTGGAGTGAGTGAGTCATTTTACGCTGCTTTTAGCACTATTCCAGCAATATCATGGCGGGGGGACACCAGAAATGGGCTATACTCTAATCTACTCATGTGGGGAATCTAACGTGGGTTTTCGGCATGACGGCGAACGCTTTATCCACTAGGCTACCCAACCACCCCATCTGGACTGGAAACTCACAACCATAGATTCAGGCATGGATATATATGCAGATATTTGACTCACTGACTGAGTTTGGTTTTACGCAGCTTTTAGCAATATTCCAGCAACATCACGGCGGGGAACACCAGAAATAAGCTTCACACATTGTACCCGTGTGGGGATTCGAACCTGGTGTTCGGCGTGACAAGCCAACGCTTTAACCACTAGGCTACCCCACCGCCCCGCAGATATTTGAATCAATCCGGTTTTTAGAAGTATATATTGCTACATTATACCGATAGGGAAGACACTTGCTCCATTTCTAGTTCAGTGTATTGCCAAGATAGCATTCTACATCTAGATTTCCGCTATGCAGCAAGCACATCATGAAACACACCCAGCTCAACTTACTCCAAGCATGACTGACTGACCTACTTTCCCTAAAGGTCACAAGTGCAGCATATGATATCTGAGTCATAAAAACGTTTATGAAACAATTTGCAATTAAATTGATTATAGTATTCTAGTGCATTAATAACATGAATATATTGAAGTATTGACGTCGACTTTCACAGGGCGCTGAGTGCATGTAGACTGTATCGTGGTGCATTGCCTGCATCCGGTATCTAGATACCATCCCCAGGGACAGCGAGTCATTGTTACTGAATATACTACTCAAAGGAAGGGAAGGAACACTGACCCTTGTCACTCAAGGTAAAATAAGCCCGACAGTAATATAAACCGTGTGGGTAGGTGGGTAGGTCTGTTCACCCACCTACCTAAACATGACTGCAACACTTACACACAGTGAACTAAACATGAATACTATGTTCAGACACAGTTAACTGACACCTAGCCGACCACTGCAGGAAGTTTACCAGAAACTAAACATAATACTACCCTCAGACACAGTTAACTGACACCCAGCGGACCACTGCAGGAAGTTTACCAGAAACTAAAGATAATACTACCCTCAGACACAGTTAACTGACACCCAGCCGACCACTGCAGGAATTTTACCAGAAACTAAAGATAATACTACACTCAGACACAGTTAACTGACACCTAGCAGACCACTGCAGGAAGTTTACCAGAAACTAAAGATAATACTACCCTCAGACACAGTTAACTGACACCCAGCGGACCACTGCAGGAAGTTTACCAGAAACTAAAGATAATACTACCCTCAGACACAGTTAACTGACACCCAGCCGACCACTGCAGGAAGTTTACCAGAAACTAAACATAATACTACACTCAGACACAGTTAACTGACACCTAGCGGACCACTGCAGGAAGTTTACCAGAAACTAAACATAATACTACACTCAGACACAGTTTACTGACACCCAGCCGACCACTGCAGGAAGTTTACCAGAAACTAAAGATAATACTACACTCAGACACAGTTAACTGACACCTAGCAGACCACTGCAGGAAGTTTACCAGAAACTAAACATAATACTACACTCAGACACAGTTAACTGACACCTAGCAGACCACTGCATGAAGTTTACCAGAAACTAAACATAATACTACACTCAGACACAGTTAACTGACACCTAGCCGACCACTGCAGGAAGTTTACCAGAAACTAAACATAAATACTACACTCAGACACAGTTAACTGACACCTAGCAAACCACTGCAGGAAGTTTACCAGAAACTAAACATAATACTACACTCAGACACAGTTAACTGACACCTAGCGGACCGCTGCAGGAAGTTAACCAGAAACTAAACATCATACTACACTCAGACACAGTTAACTGACACCTAGCAGACCACTGCAGGAAGTTTACCAGAAACTAAACATAATACTACACTCAGACACAGTTAACTGACACCTAGCGGACCACTGCAGGAAGTTTACCAGAAACTAAACATCATACTACCCTCAGACACAGTTAACTGACACCCAGCCGACCACTGCAGGAAGTTTACCAGAAACTAAAGATAATACTACACTCAGACACAGTTAACTGACACCTAGCAGACCACTGCAGGAAGTTTACCAGAAACTAAAGATAATACTACACTCAGACACAGTTAACTGACACCTAGCAGACCACTGCAGGAAGTTTACCAGAAACTAAACATAAATACTACACTCAGACACAGTTAACTGACACCTAGCGGACCACTGCAGGAAGTTTACCAGAAACTAAACATAAATACTACACTCAGACACAGTTAACTGACACCTAGCAGACCACTGCAGGAAGTTTACCAGAAACTAAACATAATACTACACTCAGACACAGTTAACTGACACCCAGCCGACCACTGCAGGAAGTTTACCAGAAACTAAACATAATACTACACTCAGACACAGTTAACTGACACCTAGCGGACCGCTGCAGGAAGTTTACCAGAAACTAAAGATAATACTACACTCAGACACAGTTAACTGACACCTAGCAGACCACTGCAGGAAGTTTACCAGAAACTAAACATAAATACTACACTCAGACACAGTTAACTGACACCTAGCCGACCACTGCAGGAAGTTTACCAGAAACTAAACATAATACTACACTCAGACACAGTTAACTGACACCTAGCCGACCACTGCAGGAAGTTTACCAGAAACTAAACATAAATACTACACTCAGACACAGTTAACTGACACCTAGCAGACCACTGCAGGAAGTTTACCAGAAACTAAACATAATACTACACTCAGACACAGTTAACTGACACCCAGCCGACCACTGCAGGAAGTTTACCAGAAACTAAACATAATACTACACTCAGACACAGTTAACTGACACCTAGCGGACCGCTGCAGGAAGTTTACCAGAAACTAAAGATAATACTACACTCAGACACAGTTAACTGACACCTAGCAGACCACTGCAGGAAGTTTACCAGAAACTAAACATAAATACTACACTCAGACACAGTTAACTGACACCTAGCCGACCACTGCAGGAAGTTTACCAGAAACTAAACATAATACTACACTCAGACACAGTTAACTGACACCTAGCCGACCACTGCAGGAAGTTTACCAGAAACTAAACATAAATACTACACTCAGACACAGTTAACTGACACCTAGCAGACCACTGCAGGAAGTTTACCAGAAACTAAACATAATACTACACTCAGACACAGTTAACTGACACCTAGCAGACCACTGCAGGAAGTTTACCAGAAACTAAACATAATACTACACTCAGACACAGTTAACTGACACCTAGCGGACCACTGCAGGAAGTTTACCAGAAACTAAACATCATACTACACTCAGACACAGTTAACTGACACCTAGCGGACCGCTGCAGGAAGTTAACCAGAAACTAAACATCATACTACACTCAGACACAGTTAACTGACACCTAGCAGACCACTGCAGGAAGTTTACCAGAAACTAAAGATAATACTACACTCAGACACAGTTAACTGACACCTAGCAGACCACTGCAGGAAGTTTACCAGAAACTAAACATAAATACTACACTCAGACACAGTTAACTGACACCTAGCCGACCACTGCAGGAAGTTTACCAGAAACTAAACATAAATACTACACTCAGACACAGTTAACTGACACCTAGCGGACCACTGCAGGAAGTTTACCAGAAACTAAACATAATACTACACTCAGACACAGTTAACTGACACCCAGCAGACCACTGCAGGAAGTTTACCAGAAACTAAAGATAATACTACACTCAGACACAGTTAACTGACACCTAGCAGACCACTGCAGGAAGTTTACCAGAAACTAAACATAATACTACACTCAGACACAGTTAACTGACACCTAGCCGACCACTGCAGGAAGTTTACCAGAAACTAAACATAAATACTACACTCAGACACAGTTAACTGACACCTAGCCGACCACTGCAGGAAGTTTACCAGAAACTAAACATAATACTACACTCAGACACAGTTAACTGACACCTAGCCGACCACTGCAGGAAGTTTACCAGAAACTAAACATAAATACTACACTCAGACACAGTTAACTGACACCTAGCAGACCACTGCAGGAAGTTTACCAGAAACTAAACATAATACTACACTCAGACACAGTTAACTGACACCTAGCAGACCACTGCAGGAAGTTTACCAGAAACTAAACATAATACTACACTCAGACACAGTTAACTGACACCTAGCGGACCACTGCAGGAAGTTTACCAGAAACTAAACATCATACTACACTCAGACACAGTTAACTGACACCTAGCGGACCGCTGCAGGAAGTTAACCAGAAACTAAACATCATACTACACTCAGACACAGTTAACTGACACCTAGCAGACCACTGCAGGAAGTTTACCAGAAACTAAAGATAATACTACACTCAGACACAGTTAACTGACACCTAGCAGACCACTGCAGGAAGTTTACCAGAAACTAAACATAAATACTACACTCAGACACAGTTAACTGACACCTAGCCGACCACTGCAGGAAGTTTACCAGAAACTAAACATAAATACTACACTCAGACACAGTTAACTGACACCTAGCGGACCACTGCAGGAAGTTTACCAGAAACTAAACATAATACTACACTCAGACACAGTTAACTGACACCCAGCCGACCACTGCAGGAAGTTTACCAGAAACTAAAGATAATACTACACTCAGACACAGTTAACTGACACCTAGCAGACCACTGCAGGAAGTTTACCAGAAACTAAACATAATACTACACTCAGACACAGTTAACTGACACCTAGCCGACCACTGCAGGAAGTTTACCAGAAACTAAACATAAATACTACACTCAGACACAGTTAACTGACACCTAGCAGACCACTGCAGGAAGTTTACCAGAAACTAAACATAATACTACACTCAGACACAGTTAACTGACACCTAGCGGACCGCTGCAGGAAGTTAACCAGAAACTAAACATCATACTACACTCAGACACAGTTAACTGACACCTAGCAGACCACTGCAGGAAGTTTACCAGAAACTAAACATAAATACTACACTCAGACACAGTTAACTGACACCTAGCAGACCACTGCAGGAAGTTAACCAGAAACTAAACATCATACTACACTCAGACACAGTTAACTGACACCTAGCCGACCACTGCAGGAAGTTTACCAGAAACTAAACATAATACTACACTCAGACACAGTTAACTGACACCTAGCGGACCACTGCAGGAAGTTTACCAGAAACTAAACATCATACTACACTCAGACACAGTTAACTGACACCTAGCGGACCGCTGCAGGAAGTTAACCAGAAACTAAACATCATACTACACTCAGACACAGTTAACTGACACCTAGCGGACCACTGCAGGAAGTTTACCAGAAACTAAACATAATACTACACTCAGACACAGTTAACTGACACCTAGCGGACCACTGCAGGAAGTTTACCAGAAACTAAACATAATACTACACTCAGACACAGTTAACTGACACCTAGCGGACCACTGCAGGAAGTTTACCAGAAACTAAACATCATACTACACTCAGACACAGTTAACTGACACCTAGCGGACCGCTGCAGGAAGTTTACCAGAAACTAAACATCATACTACCCTCAGACACAGTTAACTGACACCCAGCAGACCACTGCAGGAAGTTTACCAGAAACTAAACATCATACTACCCTCAGACACAGTTAACTGACACCCAGCAGACCACTGCAGGAAGTTTACCAGATGTATTATTATCCATATGGTGAAACATAACCAGTGTCATATATATCATATGTACACACGTGCACATATCACTTTTGCCTAGCAACCATTGTTTCTATATTTCATCGTCTGTGACGTCATCAAACAACTGTAAGTGACGTCAATGAACAGGGCAGTCACACTTGCTTACCGTGTTTTACTGCACAAATATACATGAATAAATGGATAATAAAGCAATTATTACACAAGCAAGGGTGCCACACGACTTATACGAAACTTGTGCAAAATGGTGTATTGCCCTTGCTCTCGCTCGGGCAATACAAAATTTCACACTCGTTTCTTATAAGTCGTATGACACACTTGCTCGTGAAATAATCTCTATTTATCTCTTAACATCTTTATTTACGTTACTGTAAGTAATGGAACCACTGAACAAACCACTAAACAGATCCTCTAGCCACTAGCAGATGCTCCATCACAGACATAGGAGAGATACAGACGGCGTCTGCCCCAGTCCTTCCATTCGGAGTCTTCCACTATAGTCTGTTTGCAGTGAAAATGTACCGGTGAATTGCACTTTAAACAAAAATGTAAATCGAATAAAGTGAAATTAAGATTGCGAATCCTCATAATTCTACCTTGTCAATTGAACATTTAAGCGCAGTAGTTGGAACAGTGAAACAAATGCACGTGCCATACGTGATGAGCGTTAACTTAGACCAACCCTCCTTGATATCGGTGTTTCATTTTATGTGCATACCCCCTTGTAATACAAACCAATAATACCGATTTAAAACTATGATCGTTTGTTAAACAACTTTCATCCCAAGTTGAATAAAATTCTGAGACTTAAATTTTCAAATGGCAAGGTAAAATTATGAGGATTCGCAATCTTAATTTCACTTTATTTGATTTACTTTTTTGTTTAAAGTGAAATTCATCTGTACATTTTCACCGCAAACAGACTATACTTGTGGAATTTCTGCTATTGGAAATATTTCAGGTTGCAATACGCTCATCCAGAAGATGTTTTCAGTTGGCACGTACCTGATCTCGAACACACGAGGAAGGGGATGCATCACGACCATCTTCTTCTTGGCCTTTGTCATCACTTCAGGGGTCACTATGAACTGTCCACATGCCTGAAACATAGCAAGCACACAGGATTCCCATCACAATCCCACACATAGGCTCAAATAAATTTTTCGTCTGAATCCAAAACACAGTGTTTTCATTCTAAATCCCAATTATAGCTAAAATACATGGAATTATCATGAAACGGCCCTCCCATTATCAGAAATTTGCGGGCCGCTGCAAATGATATTGGACCGCTCAACCTTAACGACGGGCCACTATCAGTTCTGTTGTCAAGTGACGTCATAGTGGGTGCGTGGGCTTACGGTTCATTCGACATTAATTGGCTTTCGACTGGTAGATATTCTGGGTCAAACAAGTCAAAGCAACCCGAATTCCCGCTTTAAATAGCGGTAATATTGGCTTTCTTGTTGATGCTAACCTTAACAATTGCACTATTAAGGCTGTTGATGGACCAAAACCGAACACTGACATAGTTTGACATGTTGCAGGCTATGGTCTTGCCAAAGGCCAAGGTCGAATATCGTCACTTTCTGTTGTGACGTCACTTGAATTGTTCGATGACGTAATTGCATTCAGGCAGTCAACCTCGTCAGAAGTTGATTTGGGTAAACTTACAGTCAAATTCCTTCATTGTCTCCTTTTTCTTTCCAACACAAATTCCATGTATTTTAGCAATAATAACGGTAATGCTATTTTTGAGGGCATTATCATTTAATGCCCTCAAAAATAGCATTACCCTTATAATAACACTGAAATATCTCTTGGATATCTGTGATGTATCTGGGATATCGGTAATACCTCCTGGATATCTGTGACGTATCTGGGATATCGGTCATATCTCTTGGATAACTGTGACGTATCTGGGATACTGGTCATATCTCTTGGATATCTGTGATGTATCTGGGATATTGGCCATATCTCTTGGATATCTGTGACGTATCTGGGATATTGGTCATATATCTTGGATAACTGTGACGTATCTGGGATACTGGTCATATCTCTTGGATAACTGTGACGTATCTGGGATACTGGTCATATTTCTTGGATATCTGTGACGTATCTGGGATACTGGTCATATCTCTTGGATATCTGTGACGTATCTGGGATACTGGTCATATCTCTTGGATAACTGTGATATCACTGGGATATTGATTATAACACACACATTTGTACATTGTAATATTTGGAGGTGAATACAATTTTTGTTTAGTACAATTTTTTTATCACATAATAAAATGACTACCCCTTGTCCGCATCAGGGTAAACAATCTAGTGCTGGTCACCTGAAAAACAAACACTATAGTCCCCTGGAAGAGTGATGGCTTAAATAGATTGTCTCATAAGCCTAGCTTAGCTTCAAGCTGGCTAGGTCCTCTGCACAACACATATTGAAATACAGCACCCACTAAACTGAAGTACCCATTCCATTGTAAACATAAATTCTCCACAAATCTTTGCTTAAAGCATTTACTGAGTAAGTGAATTTGGTTTTATACTGTTTTGAAGTTTTGAGATACATCTCAGGTTCACATGAGAGGACAACCTGTCAAATATGTTTACCACTGGTAAATGCCAGAGCCATGGTACTGACAAACCTTAGATCATAATCTCAGAGGTCCAGATAAGCTGCGTTAGATACGCATAGAAAATTTCCAATTACGCACTGAAAAATAATTATTGCGTACCAATTACACATTTAAACTGTTAGATACGTAAAGAGTTTAAAACAAATGCGTACGGAATATACTTATAAAAATCGCTTGCGTAATGAAAAAGATATTGACTGCTATCAAGTTGTACTGTTAGTATAGGACTAGTGTTGTAATGTCAGTATAGGATGACTGATTTTTTATGAAATCATTTCCCTTATATTTAAGTTGGTTTTGATTAGGTATGACATAAGGCAGAACATACCTGCTTAGTAAACTTACTCAATGACACGATACTTAGGTGTGTAAAATGACTGAAATACGTACATATTTGAAAGCAGTGGGTAACGGAAAATGAAATACCCACTCAACATTCACAATACCCACTCCAAAAAAATACAGTGGGTACAGTACCCACATTAGCTAAATCTTATCTGGAGCTCTGTAATCTGAGTAAATATGTTATTCCAACACAGGACAACCACAGGATAGTCTGTAATTGAAAGCGAAATAAAAAAAGAATCTCTGAAAATCTTGACAATAGTGCAAATGTCCTCTAATGTAGAACCAAGTCAAATCAATAATTCCAATACTTCAGGACACTGGCTAGTGAAGGCTAGACTAGGTCATGAAGTTGCTGAGGGCATTCACAAAACCCTTCAACCGAGATCATACAGGCAATTAATTGTATCTGAATTATAGTTCTATATCTAGACACATTTAAGCTTCTTGCGTGACTTCTTTTTCTCTCACACGAACACAAAATTGAATTAAATGCGACCTGATCTGATTGTGACTTCTCCACACACAGTGTACATATTAGTCACAGTAGAGCAGACTTGAAAACCTATTGAGTTGTCTCAACAATGTGTGTCGGTCTCCTGTACAGTCTCTTGATAACATCGGACAACATCGGGCTCCCATACATCAATACTAACCTCATAACTGTTGACATCAACTAGAGACAGTTTTATTTCCCTTCAAACATCCTAAATTCTTGGGTATGTATGTATGTATGTATGTATGTATGTATGTATGTATGTATGTATGTATGTATGTATGTATGTATGTATGTATGTATGTATGTATGTATGTATGTATGTATGTATGTATGTATGTCTGTCTGTCTGTGAGTGAGTGAGTGAGTGAGTGAGTGAGTGAGTGAGTGAGTGAGTGAGTGAGTGAGTGAGTGAGTATGCTTTTACACCGCTTTAAGCAATATTCCAGCAATATTACGGCAGGGGACACCAGACATGGGCTTCACACATTGTACCCACGTGGGAAATTGAACCTGGGTCTTCTGCATGACAAGCCAATGCTTTAACTACAAGGCTAGCTCCCCCACCACCCCTGAACATTCAAGAAATCTATGGCCATGGGTTTGCGTTCTAGTTGACCAAGATTACGTTTCTAGGAATGCCCACACCTGTGCTTGTCAGTTCACAAAAGTGAAGCCATTGGACATTAGTCCTGTTACCATTCACGTGTGTATCTGGTGAATCAAGGTGTATCCCTTCAAGGATTCAATTCATTATCCGCTGTCACTAGAACCAAATATTTATGAATATTTTAAGAGTGTTTTTTCTGGAAACTAATTTGTTGTTTATCTAAGTGAGATAAACAAAATGGAATCTTGCCAATATATTGTTTTGCCACGGCTTTTACAACATTGTCAATAAGCTGTAAGCGACATTTTATATTTAGTGAAAATATCATTTAAACTGTTAAGTAATTACAAGGCATTTTTTGTTATTTTACCTGTTTTGATATAAACATAAAGTATTCATGAATATAAATATTCGTAATTACAATATATTAAGAAAACAACATATTTGCCTCATAGTGCATTTGTCGCAACCCTTAGTAATTGGTCACCATTTTGGGCACTTCCTCATATTAAACTGACATGCTGTAATACAACTGAAATACTGTTCAAAGTGGCATTAAGCCCAACTAAATGGTTGCACTTTGGTTTGCGAAAAATAGGTATTACAAGGACAGACCAGAAAACATCTTACAGCATCAAAGGAGTGAGCAAGTGAGTGAGTGAGTATGGTTTTATGCCCAGTCCATACCAATTACGTGTCTAAGTTTGTCAGCATCATTGCCATGGTTGGTGTGGGTTTCACAAAAGGTGAATGAGTGAGTTTAGTTTTATGCCGATTTTAGCAATATTCTAGCAATATCAGCGGGGGACACCAGAAATGGGCTTCACACATTGTACCCATGTAGGGAATCGAACCCGGGTCTTCAGCGTGACAAGCGAACGCTTTAACCACTAGACTACCCCACCGCCCTTTCACAAAAGGAGAAAAACATCAGGACCTTTCTTTTCAGATTAAGATGAGCAAGTGAGTGAGTTTAGTTTTACGCCTCTTTTAGCAATATTCCAGCAATATCACAGCATGGGACACCAGAAATGGGCGTCACACATTGTACCCATGTGGGGAATCGAACCCGGTCTTCAGCGTGACAGACAATTTCAAAGGAAAATTGGATAACATTTGACGGAAACGATCGAAAGTGTTATCAACTGACCTAATATTCTTCATGTTTACACTGACACAACAGTTGGAATATGACGGAGAAATTTCCCCATCCAAACTGAAATAAGATAGCTACATGCATTCACGACTATCGTCATTCAATGTGCACACATGAATACTTTACAACAGAAGAACATAATTATGTCAAACTCATGGGCATCTGGAAAAATTCCCAACAAACAAAAATCACGTTTTTTGAGATTGTGTAATCTTATTATCTTCGGTGTCATATGTCCCACTTTTTGCCTGATATTGTAAGAAATAATAAGTAACATGCATAATGTTATTTTGTTTTGACTGATATATTCGTCCAGATCTGACTCATGATGATAAATAAACAAGGTTGATTAAAGGGAACCAGAAGGTGAGTGTGAGATGACTGCCAATTCAACATCCACGTTTTACACAATGAGGTTAAACTGTAAATCCATCGTTTCTTCAAGTCTGCATCTTACATTCTCACACACTTAACTACGCAATAGCATCTACAAATATACAGTTTATAAAAACGTGTACATGAAAACAAGTATTTCATTCACTGCTGAACTATTTAATATTCCACACGACAGCTTCCTATGACCTGCACTGTATAAATATTCTATCAACGTCCACCACATGCCGAGCTGTCTCATCAAGACTGTCACTAGACGATAGTCCTGTTTCATACACATACCATACCAGTTGGATCTTCGCTGTATGAATACAATCAAAACATACAATCCCACCTCCGCAAGCTCAAATATCTTATTTGACCTACCATCAGATCATGAGAATGTTCACATATATTTTGCAACTTATCTCCACCCATCTGAACAAAGATATTTCTTCATGAAAATGTTTTTTGAAATT